ACTGAAGGGATCCCACTCCTGACACCAACCAGCCCCTGACAAGCTGGTGTCAGGGGGAGGGAGAGTTAATGGAGGGATCCACCAACTATCCCCCACAGAGCCGGGGGGGCGGGAGAGTTAATGGAGGGATCCCACTGCTATGACCAACCACCCCCATAGAACTGTGGGGGGAGATGAGAGATCCCACCAACCATCCCAAGCACAGCCTACCCCCTCCACCCCAGCAGCTCCGTGTGAGTGGGGTCAGGGCCCCCCCCCAAGAAGGCAGCCACACACCCCTGAAATCAATGCTGTGATGGGGGTGGGGGTCTGATAGCGTCTGATGGGGGATGGGAAGAGGTTGGGGGTGAAAAGGGTGATGGGGTAGATGATCGGGGGCGGAGTCAGCGCCTGAGTAATTCAGGGGTCAATCCCCTCAATCCCACAGGTGTGTTCATTCCCTGAAATCCGTCTGTCCCCCCCAGCCCCGCTCCCTGCAGCACAGCGCCCCCTAGTGCCACCCTGGGGCTTTGGGGCCAGCCCTGCCCCACGGAAGAGCGCCCCCCCCACTGGAATAATCACTGCTCCTAACTCCCTCATTCTTTCCACAGACACTTTATTATTAGGGGATGCTGGGGGGGGGTTTCCCCATCTCCTGTCTAGAGGGCCCCCCGCGGGGCTCTCAGGCGATGCGCTGCCGACCCCCCCAGCGATGGGCCAGGCCCCTGGGCTGGGGGCTGCCTGGGAGCCGCTGAGTCTCCTGCTCTGGCCCCTGGGGGGCGCCGAACGATTCCTCTCGGAGCAGGGAGCACACCATGGACATGGCGTGGATCTGGGGGGAGGAGACGGGGCTGATGGGGGGATCTGAGCTCCCCCCCCCCCCCGGGTTCCCTCCTCCCTGCCCCCACCCCCGAGGTAAGTTACCTTGCCAGTACTCCTGATACATGGGGCTGGTGCGGCAGGAGGGAAAGGGTTAACGGGGTCAGTGTGGGGCAGAGACATGGCAAGGGGGCGGGGGGCAGCACGGGGAGGGGACGGCCCAGGACACGCTCACACACGTGTTAGCACCTGTGAACCACATGCGGGTGAGGTAACAGGTGTGCAGGGACACACAGGGAGGAACATGCATGGCCCACGCATCGACACACGTGGAAACACGTGCACAAGCCCCTCACACACACACCGACACGTGGAAACACATGCACAAGCCAGTCACATGCACTGACACACACAGAAACACGTGCACAAGCCCCTCACACACATGCACCAACACACATTCACAACCCCCAGCTGCAGGAACATGTGTGGGAACAGGCGCGCACCGACACACGTGAGGACATGGGGTGGGCAGGAATACAGGCCCCAAGACGCACGCAGAACGACACACGCGCGTGCAAACATGCACAAGCCACGCACTGCAGCCACACGTGCACACTGGCACCACCTGCTGGGGAAGGTCAGGATTTCCTGGGAGCCACTGGTGAGTCTCCTGCACTCCAGGGTGCTGGCCAGCGCCAGGCACAGCAGCTGCAGGAACTGGGCGGGGGGGGGGAAACTGAGTCACAAGGGGGGGGAGATCCCACATCCCCCCCAGCACCTCCCCCATCCCTGGGGATGACCCCTGCTCCCCAGCCCCGCCCTCGCCCCCCATTACCTCCATCAGGGCGATGCCCAGGCAGATGCCCACGATGCTGATGATGTTATTGGCCAGCCAGCCCTGGACGCTGTTCGCACAGCCCTGATTGGATGACAGCAGGGAGAGGGGGTGGGGTCAGAACACTGGCACCTGCTACAAAATCCTCTCCCACCACCGCCGCCAGCTGCGAGCTTCCCCCACAGAAGTGCCCCCAGCCGGGGACTCCAGCGCTGCGAGCTTCCCCAGCAGCAGTGCCCCCAGCCAGGGACTCCGGCGCTGCGAGCTTCCCCCGCAGCAGTGCCCCAGGCAGCACTCACCTGCCTGTAGACCGGCCACTCCCCCTGAGTGGTGCAGAACCCGGTGGCCCCCTGCACGGCCGGGGCCTCGGTGGTGTTGGTGCCGGTGCCGTGCTCACCAGGGCTGGAGCTGTTGTGACAGGAACAGGGGTACAGTTTGCGAGACGAGTTGTCCACGACGGGGTTCTGGTGCCAGTCCAGGTACGAGCTCCAGCCGCAGCACCGGAGCTGCCGGGGGGGGGAGGGGGAAGAGAGACAGTGGGAGGGCATGTCTGAGCCAGGTGCCTTGTGCCAACCAGCAGAGGCACCGGGGGTGGGGGGGTGCACAGGGGTTTCCAGCAGGGTGGATAAAAATCAATTTTTTTTTATTAAAAAAATTGGATATTTTTTATTTAAATTGGATTTTTTTGACAAAATGCTTTTTGAGGGAAAACACTATCTAAAGATCGTTTTACTTGAGGTATCTTGGAGCTATAATGTGTCTTGTCATGGAATAGGGATTATAAATTCTAATTCTACAGTGTGAGACAATATATTCATGTCATGGTTAAGGAACGTTTTGTAACTGAGTTCCAACAGTTCGTGGATTAGGGACCCCAATCTTATGGGGCTCCAGAGGCTTCTGTCGAGATTACTGAGGTTAATCTTTCTATCGACCCAGCGGGACTCAGGGCTCAGTCTAGAAGAGACCATCGGAGACGCTTCGTGTTGCAGTTCTCAGACTGTGGATTCGTGTCTCCAGGGGTAACATGCTTGTTAACAGCAGCAAACATGTTTTTAAATAAATAAATAATATAGAGGTGAGAAATAACAGACCCCAACCCTATTGTCCCTCTGCAGATTTGTGTCCACAGAGTCAATCCCTGACCTCTCTCTAAAAGTGCAAAGTTTCAAAAAGTTCAGTGAATCGAAGATTGTTGGAGACGGAACAGATCTGGACAGGAGAAAAAGTCTGGAGGTAAATGTGAGAAGCAAGGGACATATGCTTGTTTTGGTCAAATATTATATGTTTGCTGTTGAAGAAAAAAATTCAGAACACTTAATGTTGTTGTTTTAGTTACATAAAACAATTGAAATGTCTGTCTGGTGATGTTCTCCTCCTAATACAGCCTGGCAAGAAAATCCTCCAAATATTAATGATTAACCTGTTGAATTGGAGATAGTTCACCTCCAAATGACTTCACAAATATCTGCTTCAATTACCTTTGGTAAATGAAATAACCGAACACTCGTTCATTTTCTGATACAGCTGTAAAACTCATCTGAAAAGTTTTCAAAATTAATCACGGTTTAAAAATGTATAGTGTGCACCTTCTAAAAATGAAACCCACATCTATCTCGGAGTTGTGAAGGATCCGTATTAAGGTTATAACAGCCAACAAGAATGCACTTCTATGTAGAAAACCGTGATTAAATCGAGATTTAAATCAAATCCACCCTGGTTTCCGGGGCCCCCGGGGCCTGATGTCTACATAGCTGGGCACCAAGGGGCGCCTGTGGGGTCTCTCCCCACAGCGCAAGGTGGCTGCAGGGGCCAGATTTAAGGTCTGTGTCAGTGGCGAAGCGGGAATTGTTGGTAACGATTTTGTGCGGCCTCAGTTTCCCCCCATGCGGTGCATTGCCACCCTGCGGGGGAGAAAGGGTTAACACCACCCATAGCCTAAAGAAAACCCTGGAGTCATCAGTTTACCCATAAACCAATCTAGTGTTCTCCCTTCCACCATTGCTGTTTCTCGACAAAAACCCCGACCTAGGTTCAAGTGTGTTCCGATGCCTGGACCCGAACCCCGCATCCGTTCCCCCGGAACTCCATCTTCTCCTGCCTGGCTCCAGCGCTCAGGCCCCTGAGCTCCCACCAGCCCCTGGGAACCCCGACCAGTTCAAGCCTCACGGAGCGGTGAGATCCCCCCTCCCTCCCTCCGTTTTCTTTTCTACCTCAGGGACGACTTTCTAACCCTGACTTGTTCCATCGGGGAGAGTTTTCTATAGCTGACTTTTGTAACCTTTAATAGTGTGACTGTTGTGTTGGTTTAGCCTCCTTGTGTGGTTATCACTAGTATTCAGTAAATAACTTGTATGGTGAAGTGGTTGCCTCTCTCTCTCTCTGAACTTTCCTCTTTGGTGGCTTTAACTTCCCCCATTTGCTCTGCAGCGACGCTCCTCTTACCTAAGCTAAAGATCCCGGCAGCGCCCAAAATCCTGTGGGGTTTGCTCATCCAGTGTGTTCCTGCCAGTACCACTGGGACTGGAGCGTGGGGACAGGGACGTGCTGAACCTGGGACAGACGAGGGGGGCAGCTTGGCAGTGCTGCTCGGCCCAGTCTGCTGAGTCCAGGGGCAGATAAGGGGTCAGCTTGAAAGGGCTGATTGTCCCGGTCTGCTCAGACGTGCTCTGTTAATGTGTGTGTGTCTGTGTGTTCGTGTGTGTGTGTCCCCAGTTCTGGGGCTGGAGGAACCCAGCCCTGGGGAACCGAGGTCCTGCAGCGTCGCTCCATTGGGAGGGGACTTGCAGCAGGGAGAAGTACAGCTCCATATGAACACCCAGGTGACAAGCAGCACATTGAGAGACGTACAGACCCCTCCCCCGAAGAGTAACCCTAATCAATGAGCGCACCCCAAAGTAAAGGCAAATCTGGTAACACCCCGGTACCAGCACGCGGGGTCTGGCCGGGCCGCCGGCCACGAGACAGGGTCTCTGGTGCCAACAGTCCCATCTGGGAGGCCAGGGGCCTGCCCCTCGGCGTGTGGGTCCCTGGGGGCCGCCCTGCTAGCGTGGTCTGGCCAGAGGCTGGTGTCTTGTAGCCGGGTCGATCCCAGGCTAGGGGCGGGAGGGATGAGAAATGGATCCGGTCGAGGGCCCGGCTAACGGCTCCGGGAGGAGGGACCAGGGGAGGCCGGTCAATGGGGCGTCCTGCTGGGGAAAAGGGCCGCGGCCCCTCCTGGGGGGAGCCCAGCGTCGCCGGGGCTTGGCTCGGGAGCCGGGCGTCACTGCCAGGAGCAGGGCAGAACTCGGGGCCGGTTGCAGGGGGGCTGGGCCGGGTCCCCGCAGGGGGGCCGGGTCCCGGGGCTCTCACCTGCCCCTGAATGAAGTCCCAGCTCTGGTGCTTCTCGCCGGGGGGTCCTGCCAGCGGATAGGTCCGGATGACGTCTTCCACGAACACCCCCACCTTGCCACTGAGCTGGGAGGGACAGAGGAGAGGAGAGGTGAGGTGACTTCCCCCAGCCAAGGCCCCGGCACCGCGCGCTTCCCCCCGGCAGTGCCCCCGGCCGAGCCTCCCCAGGTGCTGTGAGCTTCCCCCCGGCAGTGCCCCCGGCACGCCCCACTCACCGTGACACGCTGCGTGTACAGCAGGACCCCAATGGTGATCTGGGCGGCGAAGAGGAGAAAGAGGAAACCAAAATACTGGGGGGGGAGAGAGAAAGGGGGTCAGTGAATCTTCTCAGCCTCAGGGTCCCCCCCAGCTTCCTCCTCTGACCCCCACCTCCCTGCTCCCCCTCCCACTTCGCCACCCATAGACAGACCAACTGACACCCCAGAACTGATGGGGGTCACCCCCAGCTCTGCCCCCCCACCCTGGGGAGATCAACATCCCCTCACCCCCCAGCCAGGCTGGGACCCTCCCCGGACCCCCCACACCAGAAACAGCTGCAGCACTTCTGCTTTTCTCGTTTTCCTTTTGCACTTTTCCTCCCCCCAGCAGCCTGGGCCGGGCACCATCCGCGGGGCGGGGGGCAGAGCCTGGCAGGATGTGGCTGCTGGGGGGGGTCACGTGGTGCCAGCTGAGATGGGAAATTGCACCAGGCCCTGAGCTCATGAGGGAGGGAGAAACTTCCCGCATCAACCCCCTGGTGACCCCAGGCTCCAAGCCCCTCCCGCTGTAACCACTAGACCCCACTCCCCTCCTGGAGCCAGGGAGAGAACCCAG